TCGGACCCCCCGCCCCATCGGCAAATCCTGGCGCCACCACTGAATAAACCACCCCCCACCCCGCGTTTAATTTCCCCGAGTAATGACCCCATAAATGACTGTAAACAAATCCAATTGAAGCAACATTATTGGCAACACGCCAGTAAAATCATTATTCTCTAACTGGGAGATCAGTCTTTATTATCAAGGGTAGTTCTACATTACAGCGAAATTAAGGGGCGTTTATTTTAGCATATCCATTTTGCATACGCTCCCTTGAATACTGTAAACGCCCCTCGACAACCTTTTTTAACAATAAACGCCCTGGGGTGTTTATTCGAATAAATACAGTAATAATATCAACCTGAAGAAATAAACCCCTAATCACGACCTCTCTTCATGTTGTTAACAATATTTAAGATTCCCTTTTTAAATTTACACGACCCAATCTTAAATATTTATTTTTGCCTATCGGCATCATGCCGTAAAATTGTCTACACCTTTCGCATCCTTAATTCAAATTCATATTTTTGGCCGCAAATATTATTCGTTGGAGAACCGTAGTTTACCACATGGCCCGGGGTACAACACTGAAGAGACACTTTTTTTTTTTCTAATAAAGATGAATGATTATGTACACCATAACACCAAATCACAAACACAGAGCAAAAAAAGAGAGAAAATGTACTAAAATTAAAGAAAAAATAATTTAAATTTGTTTCCATAAAAAATAATAGTGGGTTAATACCATATTTCTATAAAAACATGCCTAAACATAATAGACATTACTATCAGGGGCGGATCCAGAAAGGTCCAAAAGGGGGGGCCGGAAGGGGGCCGAAAGTTGGGCCGATTGAGACAACACTGTCGTAGGGGGTCCGGGGGCATGCCCCCGCGAAATTTTTGTGTTCTAGACGCCCGAACATAACATTTGAGGCATTCTTGGCCATCATTTTTTCCTTTTTCTCTCTTTTTTTTCTTTTTCTTTTTCTTTTTTTACCTCCCAAAAGGGGGACCGGGGCCGGGCCGGCCCCCCCCCTAAATCCTCCCCTGCCCTGGTAACCCTATGATCTGTCTCTTATACACATCTAGATGTGTATAAGAGACAGGGCATTCCCTCAGCCAACGGCCCCTAATGAACATGAAGGTACTACCTTTTAAGCATACAACATTAATAGGATGCGTGTAGAAGACACACTGCCACGTAAATCCAAAGACTTCCATCATATTTTTTTAAACAAAAAAACAAAAACAAAAAAACAAAAAAACAACAAAAACAAAACAAATAAAAAAAAAAAACCGCGAACAAGTTACATGTATAATTATTTCAATAATTAATATTCCTATTATTTTATTCCGTGAGTTTCTACAATTAAAACGTCTGTAAACTATAGACTTTTTTTGACCATTAATTCATTAAAATTTGAAAAAAAAAAATGAAATCCTAAATACTAAGAGTTTTTAATTTGTTTTCGTTGTTTGTAGGCCTATGTGGCAGTCGCATGAAAACATGCTCTCGTCTGGGGAATCTGCTATCCTGTCTCTTATACACATCTAGATGTGTATAAGAGACAGGAGCTGTGGTCACTTCTTTAAATATCTATTGGCCTACAGATGTGTATAAGAGACAGCCCTTGAATACTGTAAACGCCCCTCGACAACCTTTTTTAACAATAAACGCCCTGGGGTGTTTATTCGAATAAATACAGTAATAATATCAACCTGAAGAAATAAACCCCTAATCACGACCTCTCTTCATGTTGTTAACAATATTTAAAATTCCCTTTTTAAATTTACACGACCGAATCTTAAATATTTATTTTTGCCTATCGGCATCATGCCGTAAAATTGTCTACACCTTTCGCATCCTTAATTCAAATTCATATTTTTGGCCGCAAATATTATTCGTTGGAGAACCGTAGGTTTCCACATGGCCCGGGGTACAACACTGAAGAGACACTTTTTTTTCTAATAAAGATGAATGATTATGTACACCATAACACCAAATCACAAACACAGAGCAAAAAAAGAGAGAAAATGTGCTAAAATTAAAGAAAAAATAATTTAAATTTGTTTCCATAAAAAATAATAGTGGGTTAATACCATAGTTCTATAAAAACATGCCTAAACATATAGACATTACTATTAGGCCTACAATATAATACGGTACAGTCGGAAAATGTATTTAAAAGATGCGCAGTAGTGAAGTGTATGAAAAAAAAAATTTGAAGTAATGGAACTATATAATATTTATAGTGTTTAAATAAACGTAAAAAAATGTTAATATAGACGATGAGTCAGCTTCGGCGTCAACAATAGGCTGTGATCGAAGCAGCTGATCTGCATAACAACAGACTCCTTGTGTGTATTCCAAACGTTAGCTTCAGACTGGTTTATGCATGCGCTATTGACCATCAGAGTTTCAAATAGTGGAAGAAGACATTGGTTTGGAATCGATATTTTTTGGAGGATTCCTTAGCAATTTAACGTCGACAAATGCCAGTGTTGTTACGTTTATCATTGTCTATTTCGTTTTACTGAAGTTTTTGTGAATCAAGAAAGATAAAGACTTAAACATGTCATCTGCGGTAAGAATGATTCCTCCGTTTTTCAGTGTTGTACTTTCATTCGTCGTGGTTCTGGGCTAAGTGCGTTGGCTGTCTGGTTGAGACATTTGCGGATGAGGATTCGAACGGTTTACTTCATAGAAATTCGGATCCAGGCATTCAAAGTAGAGGTGGTCCAGGGATTTTACAGATAAGGATCCATACCATCTCAGCCCCATGCAGTGGTGGCGCCAGGACCTGCCAGACGGAGGTGATAAAGGCCCCGACGAGGGGGGGGGGGCGCTAGTGCAGCGAATCGAGTCTCACTTGGGTAGGGGCCGGGGGCCCCTAGAAGCCACGGATATTTGATGAATTATGGCGAATGTTTATTACTTAATGGATAGGCATCGAGTTACTATAATATGACTTCATGTAGGCTATGCTTTCTAATGTTGAAATCAGCTTCTAAAACCAAAAATTTTGAATAAAACAAGAAACAAAGAGTATGCAATGTAACCATTTAATTAAGTGAAATTCTATATTTTAGAAATTTTGCATGAAATCTGGTCGAGGTTGCTTCACCTATCACGATGTATTCCAACCATAATGAGGCTATCTAAATGAGCATTTGTCATAACAGAATGCAAATTATTTTTAATTAGTCTCATTGAATTATTATTATTATTATTAATAATGATAATATTATTGTTATTGTTGTTGTGATGAAAAGTTAACAAAAACAATATGGTGGCTAAACGAATATTACATGTAAATATTTTTTTTTATTTGTTTGTTCCCCGACAAAACTTATCGGCTTCCCCGACTATAGCCCCCCCTCTGGCACCACCACAGGCACCGTGTCATAGTAGGGAGGAAGTGGGTGATGGAGTATTACATTTTAATGGCTGGAAATGGTACTCTTTAAGATTTATAATGTGATGTTCTTTTTCATTTTAACCATTATACAGTAGGCCTATTTTTGTTAAGTAGGGAGTGGGCTGTGTTCCCTATAAAAAGTGAAGGGAATGAAGCTTCAATCCCAGTCAAGATTTTTATTATTACTGTAGGTAGTGCCTTGCTGAGTGAAAATACCAATGAAATTTTCATTTAACTAAAATTAATAATAGGCTATAGAATAAACATTTATAATAGCGCCAGTATCTGCCATATATGACACTCCTGGTGTTTTTGCAAATAATCACTATTGGGCCAGGTGACATCAACACTTATGACAGTAACAAATATTATGGATCCTCATTTTCCCATTATTGTATATGGCAGTGAAACATTTTTCACAAAGGTTGGCTAAAGATCTCGCTTTTGCCTATAGGCTTATGTTTAATGTCAGCAAATCCAAGAAAGTGGGCTTTATAAACCTCACAAGAAACAGTACACAGTGGAAAGTACAGAAACATTACAATGAAAAAGATTCATAGGGCCTGAAGTTATAAAATACAGTAGAAAGAGCTGTGGTCACTTCTTTAAATATCTATTGGCCTACTGGATATTGTTCAATTTTACTCAATATCCCATTGTTTTTTATTACAGTACTGTATGTCAAATAACATGTGTGTTGAGTAAAATTGTCAATAAAAATGGATGACAATTTTATGCAATACCTATTGTCATTAACATACAGTATTCAAAACAAAATTTTGTTGATGATGATATTGAGCAAAATCAAGGTTTGATAATAATATTAATAACATCAGCAGTCTCGCCAGTCAACTTGAGTGACTGTTTTCTATTGAGATTGAAAGTGTGAAATTCTTTTCTAATCAATCAAAATGTGATTAACCTATTGATTTTGATATATCCAGTCCGAGGTGTAAAATTAAACCCTGAGACAGCCACAGTTTTATATAGTTGAACAAGTACAGTATGCTTAATTTTGTTTGAATAAACAGATTGTAATTAGTTTTAATTGGCAATTAATGATACTGTTTACACCCAAAAAAAGTATGCATGCTTGTTTTACTCAATGGAAATTGTTCAAAATTAACTGTGAAAACCAAGGATGTTTTATCAAAATTAAATTTAAATCAATTTAACTGTTTATCTACAAACTTGTATTTTGCAACACAACATTTCCTACTTTAGCTTTTAGATTAATTACACATTTTACCATTGTTTCCATGGAGATTAATAGTCTCCGGCTTAGAACTTAGAAAGAAAAATTTAATTGTGGAAGGTCAGTCATTACTCTAAAGTAATTATTTATACAATATTTTCTTGAATATGAGAATTTTAACAGAAATCATTAATATACTGTAATAGAAATAATGTTTTATATCACCACATAATTATTTCATATAGTGCTATAGATAATGATTAATAATTTTAAAGTAATAATTTAAATGATAATAATAACAATAAAAATACTACAATACTATAATAATGATAATAATAATAATAATAATAATAATAATAATTATAATAATTATAATAATTATAATAATAATAATAATAATAATAATAATAATAATAATAATAATAATAATAATAATAATAATAATGGTATGATTATTATAATATAATAATAAGAGTATATAAGTCTGATTCAAAGCTAAACCAAACAGTTAGGCCTATAAATCTACTGTACCACCAAACCTGTGCCTAACATACAGTTAATTAATGAATTCATCACAATGCCATGTTTATTTTTATGTTATATTGAGTGACTACTTTTCATGTTTGTGTTTGTGCCTGGTATACTATTTAATATCAGAGAAAATATAAATTATTCCAGCACATCACAAAGGTGAATATTCTTCTGATGACAGGTAATAATAATGTTTGAATTCATTTTTTCTTCATTTTATTTTCTCATTCTTTGTTTTCATTTTTGTTTCATGTGCAATGATACACTAGGTCTATATATATTATTACATCCTCGCAGAAGCTAAAACATGCAAAAAATCCTACACTTGAGGGATAGAGGTGCGCGAAAAATGAGAATGTAGAACTAACTCCCTCAATTAAAACTTATGGTCATTTTTGGTATGTTAGCCCACTTATAGTGGAACTAATTTGCACCCCACCCCCTCAGTTTACTGTATGACACTAATAAACATCCTCATACTTTAAACATTGAGTATCTGTTAGTAATAGTGGCCGTGCCAAGCTATAGACATGACCAATGTTTTTGTGAGCAAAACTAAAGAGTTGATCCCAGATTTTTTAGATTTGAGGCCAATCAAGATTGGGCAACAGTGGTTTTTCTTGACTGAGATCCTCCTGGATAGGAAATGCATAAATTACAACATCAGAATATTGACCTAATTTCTCAAGATGCTATTCTTAATAATATATAGACTCAACTAAAGTTTGCTGGACACATCATTTTAAATTGTGTTTCATTGCTACCATGCTTTAATACCAACACATACAATTATTTTTTCATGCATTTTCACACACAAAATCCCACAAGCCTTTAGGTCTCCTTTTCCCTAGTCTTTGTTACCCACTGGAGCATTCAAACCTGCTGTACATTCAGTATTGGCTCACATTGTGTTGTATACAATAGACAGAAAGCATCAAAAGGAAGTAAAATCAGCCCATATACATAAACTACCCACTGGTATTCAAACCTTGTCCGCTGTTAAACCTGACTGACCTACAAGGAGACTATAAAGGTCGTGATTAGTATTTCACTACATATTTACCAAAGTGAATGTACACAGACCAAAAATTAGTTTTAGAATTTACAGGCCACTGTGATGGTTGTTTTTCATATTGAACACATGCTAATTACATGGATGCGCCTTAAAAAAAGCATAATATTGCAGCAAAAGTTGCAAAATTTTTCCAATCACGTGTCCTGTGCAGGTAGTATTTTGTCTTGTGTGAAGGTAAAATTAAGGGCTACACTGATAGGAAATAAACATTGATTTAAATATTCCTGGGGTTTTTTGTGGTGGGGGGAGGTGGGTGTAAACATTTTTGTTTATATGCAAGAATGGTTCTTGGGTGTAAGACTGTTTTATTTTAAAATAGAATATTTGAAATACTTTACATCTGCACAAACAAACATGTTATCATACCACAAGAAACTATAGATGGAATATATTGATTCAATATTGTAGTGCATAGGCAAGGACGCACCTCTTCCCATCGCAGCAAATTAGTTCCACTTGTTAAAATACTAAAAATGTCCATTAAGTTAGGAATAGGGTTTTAGTTCTGATTCTGTTCTTTTCCCAAACTCGAAATTATAGTTATACAGTAGTTGCACTTTATGCTCAAAAATGTTAATTTTGTTAATGTTTTCATTACTAGAAAGCAGAGCTTGTGTCTGGAGATGAGAACACTCAACGAGGAAACTGGTCTAACAAGATGGACTTCTTGTTGTCTTGTCTTGGTTATGCAGTGGGCTTAGGAAATGTTTGGCGATTTCCTTACTTGTGTTACAGAAATGGGGGCGGTAAGAAAAGAAGTGAATTTATATATGAATCAAATCAAAAGTATATCTTTCCTTCTGAAACATAAGAATTTCATCTGGATTCATAAGGTATTTAATTGAAGTTATCACTTAATAAACCAAATTAAGTAGACTTGCTTGCTTTGTTTCAGCTACAGTTTCATAACCTTGATCATACGAATGTAATGTTGTCATTATGGAGTTAAAAGCTGATAACACAAAGATAGATGGTGCTACTCACCGAGGTATTATGGATGGCGACACAACAACATTACGTCATTCGCATGATCAAGGCTACTGAAACCGTAGCTGAAACATAGCAAGTCAGCTATTAATTTTGGTTTATCAAGTGATAACTTCAATTAAATAAAAAGAATTATCCTTTTTAAAAGCAATATAGTAATAACTTACAAGAAAAGGATAAACAACCTAAATTAAGCAATTATTGGGGAATGTAACAAAAGGGTGAAGGATCAAATAAGCCTTAACTGGTTGTCTGATTGATACTCTAAAATCAGATCATATTATAATTATGTCATTAATATAATAAAAATAATAATGACAAAAAGCCTAACATTAACAGTAATAACACATTCTGTCAAATTCTTGCACTGTATATGCAGGTCTGTCTGCTATCTAATGTACATTACTTTTGTAATTGCATTGTTTTTATTCTAGGTGCCTTTCTTATACCTTACCTGATTATGTTGGCTTTTGCTGGACTTCCGCTGTTCTTCTTGGAGGTTAGCTTTGGTCAGTATTGCAGCCAAGGACCAATCACAGCGTGGAGAGCGTGTCCTGCCTTCCGAGGTATGTACAGTAGTCTTAATGTTGGAAAAGCTAAGTGGTTAAGATGCTTGCCTAACCCCAGGAATTCCTGTCACAGCAGGCCTTTCTATCACAACCAAAAACAATTCCACTCCCTAAGCCTCATAAAGACACTTAGTTTATAAAGCATCATTCTCATCCTGTAAGTAGCGAGTGTACTTGCTATCAGATGTGAAGGAAATTTTTTAGAAATGTCCACTCTTCTCCTGTCAATCAAATTAAAAATATGTTTTCTATAGGAATTCATCAAATGTGCATGATATCCATTACATTTCATTTTTAAACTGTTGTGGAATTTTGATTTTACATACAGAGCAGGACCAGAGAGTCTACAATGGTTGGATTAGTTTGTTTTTATGAATTATTTCCTTTTAGGCCTACAGTAGGCCTATTGGGCTTTAATTAAGCAGATCAGATTATAACAATAATATTATCATAATTATGGTAATTATTATTAATGTTGTTGTTGATCAGTCAATAAATGAAATGAATTTAGTGAATAGTGTAATAAAATATAATAAAGCATTAATGTAAATAGGTCTACAGTAAACCTGTTGATTACTTTCTTGTGTTTTTTTTTTGTGCAAATTCATCTTTCAGAATTTTCTACTCATATTATAAATAATTGTTATAAAACTCAAACTAATACTATTTAATACCAACACAATTATATTCCCTGAAAGTGAAAGTTAACAGGAAGAGGGTATGCATTCAACTTGGCTTCTGACCTTATAAAAGATCAGAATATGAATGTATTCTGTACGATAACATGTCAGGTAGGCCAAAAACATCACTTCATCTGAGACTGTAATGTACAGTATCCCAATAATGTACCTATTCAAATCATATAGGTTCCTCTACCTAAACAGTGGATGTTGCTGCTGTTGTATTATTATGCTAGTACTGTACCTGCCTAAGTATTGGCTATACAGATGTAGCTACTGTTTTAAACTGCTTCAAAATTTTACAGCCATTACATTGATTTTAACAATTTTTCAGAGATATTGTAACCTATCAAATTGTATCATCGTTTATTGCCGCTAAACATCAAAAAAACACTCCGTCAGGTGTTGTAATAATTAATGGACTGTATTATAACCACTATTTTCTTATTGCTTTATATTTGAAATAGGTGTTGGATATGGCATGATGGTGGTTTCGTCATATGTAGCAATTTACTACAATGTGATCATCATGTATGCGATATATTACCTGTTTTCATCTTTCACGTCCACTCTCCCATGGATTGGGTGCAACCATTCTTGGAACACGCCAATGTGTAGTGAAAAATACACTGACTGTATTGCAGGCAAAGGCATCATCGCCTTGAATGCTAGCTGTATACAGCTTGATAACATGACCGCTACAGACTTGGAATTTTATAACATTACACCAACCTTTGAGACTTACGATTTAAGTATTTACAGGGATCCATTTGAAGGCATGAGAAAACGTGCTACTGAGGAATTTTGGAAGTAAGTTGGTCACCATTTTCATTTTTCATTTGTATTATAAAAGGGTGACTTGCTAATCAATTCTAATATGGAATTGAATTTTTCATGGAAGAAACGAATACAACATAGGAGCTTTTTGAACTTCTTTCAATTTTGTAGCTCATGACAGACAGCGTAATATATAATTTAATATTTAATGTATGAATATAAAGGTGATGAT